TATAATAGTGAACTTTAAAACAAACAATTGCTGATATTCTGCAACAGTTTTAATCACCTTACTTTAGAAGGCTATAAAAGCCTTGTCATATAGGATTTGAATCAATGTTCAGTTAGGAATATAAACCAGTAGACCTTACTATAGGGGCCTATTATTATATTATCAACTCATTTTGTATATAGGCTGCAAAACTAATATTTTTGAATTCGACTTTTAAATTTAATATCCCCCTTTAAAACTTTATATGTAATATAAACGTTTTACTTTTCAGTGTTCACCTTCGAGCCCCTAGGCTTATGCCGGTTCTTATCATATGCTTTATATACATATATAGGCCCTGAGTTCAGGCTATATAGACCTAATCCAGGCCCATCAATATAGCCTTATCTAGGCATGTTATTATTAAGGTTATGTATTAAAGTCTTGTACTATATTGCAACAAAATTCACTAGTACATACATTGTAATGTCACAACCTCTTTCAACATTATTATTTACAATATTATCTGCCCACTGTCTTCTTTTGAGCATATATAGCTCTGTAATTTATTAAATAACCATTTTATCATATAAAATCTCTTTCAGGACTATGGTCTGTTTCCTCCTAAAGTCTCTTTCGCTGTATATAGGGTTAATTAATAATATTTTGCATATGTAGGCCTAGATTAGGCCTATATATAAGCCTATGTAGGCGGTATGGTAATAAACTGGGCCCCAGAGGCTAAAACTATGTATAGCATATAATTGCCGTAACATTCTAGCCGGGGCATTTTAGGGGCATAATGATGTCATAATCCAAAATAATAAATCTACTAATACATATAAACTTTAAATATTCTGATTCACTCACCAGTCATCATGTTTGTTAACAGAAACTACGACTGAAGATAAGTTTGCAGTGTGATTATCCGTCTCACTGTTTCTAACTGTCTGGCATTCGTTGACCTGCCTTGATATTCTGATTCAAGACTCAGGATTCGGGACTCGCAAAAGTTGGCGATGGGTGGTGATGACTATCTTGCCTTCCCTCTAGTCTTTCACTACTAAATTAGGGACAGCTAGTGTAAATATTCCTCGTGTAGCTGTGCGCGAAAATTCAAAACAACTCAAACTGTTGCTATGTTGTATATTCGCACAGTCAAATGGCAAATGCCTCTGTGGAAAATACCTAAATAAGGCTAAATTTTCTCAATTTCACAGTCAGTGTCCTCTGCCACTGAGTGGACTTTAGTAGAAAGTAAAACCACACATTGTCAACAATTAGGCATACACTAAAGAGAAAGTAAACTTTATAAAGTAGGCCAAAAGTAAAAGCTTTGAATTTGTTATTTTTTTAAGTAATGATACTGATATTATGAAATCAAAAACTAAAAACAAATTTTATTAGATCTCCAAGTTACTGAAGACATTTTATCCCTTTTTACTAAAATATATCAGAACAAAAAAAATCCCATTTTCCCCCTAGCCTCCAGTGCAGTCGGACACTAGATGTATACTCTTACGAGTAAGAGAGGAAACTAAATGTACGGATATCAGGGCAGTAGAGATACAACTTCTATCGGATTTAACTTATATTCGTAAGCTTCTCTGTGAAATGAACTTAGAACTGATGAAAAATGAGGCGCAGTTATGGGTGCGCAACCCCACAATACCCTGTATCTAAAACAAATATTCACCATCCACAGTCAGTTGTGGAAAGCATAGTTACTCCTAATGAAACAGAAAAAGGGAAGAGGATTAAAATAATAATGAAACAGGTGACTACAAACGGACTCCTTGTCGAATTGTCTGGAAATTATATCTATCTTAATGTCTATCTATACATATATATCTGTATATATATATATATAACAACAGTCAATAGAAGCGATTTGATTTTTCATTTTCTTATTTTATTGTTAGTTACTGTTTTTATGTTATTCCCATACAACAAGTGGTGCAAATTCCATAACTATACTTGTTCCCTATCTGCACTTAAAGATGTGTTATGTAACAGAATAACACCTTTAGTTATAAATGTAAAAAACTGTATAGGTACAGGTAAGATATCATCTTAATGTCTCTTCATAACATTTTGTAAGTCTAAGGATTGGACTGATATATTTCTTTTGCACCTAACAAAATTTATGTAGAAAAGTGGCCAAAGTTTATATTGAGAACGATTTAAAATATTGGGTAATAACTTGTTATAGTGTACTCCATAACTTTGGGAACGTTAATGTGTGACATGTTAAAAATAGACTTCATATTATAAGTATACTACTATGATTTTTTTTTACGTGAAATTTTTGTTGGTTAGACCCATCTCTTCTATGCATAAAAACTTTTACATAGTTTTAGAATCATTGTGATACAGGTTAGATCCCATGATTTCTAATATACACTATGAGTAATAACTGTACATCAAATATTTTATTTAGGTTTTCAGTAGTCTTTGTGATATCGATTAATATCCACGAACCAACTTGTATTGGAAGTTTCATATCGTATAATGAATATATCATCATTATAATCCTTACACACCGGATTACTAACTAGTATAATTATGCTGATATCTATGAATGTAAAATATTTTCATGGTGTACATCTGTTTCCACGACATATTCACGATATCTTGTAAGTTTTCTCTACATACGTTTACTCGTTTCATGTTATTCCGTTCCCAGAACTCCGCTGTTCATTATATTATAAGATCAATAGTTCTATGTCATAGATATAGTATACGGATTTTAGTTCTTTCGTGGACTAGCCGGCCCTGAAGAAGGCTAAACTCCGTGGCAAGAATTCCTACACCTTCAAAGTGCTGACGCGTCGTGCTAGTTCCTGCATGGATAGCTGACATGAATATCGCTCACTTCATACGTACAAACACTAACACGCCCTACCTAAGATAAAAAAAACCACTCGAGGTTTGCTTCGAAACTGCGGCCATATTTCATAATGAAAAACAAAAACAACAAAAAGACTTTGTTTTAGCTTAATTTTTGATTCTATACTAAGTTCATTCCTTTAATAGTCAAAATATATTCCTTTAAAGATCTTATTAAGGGAGAGGGGGAGCTTTCATGACTAAGCAAATGCTAGCTTTTTCTAAGTGAAGTTTCATCGTGATCATACTTCAGATATTTGTGGTATAAGCCATTCTTTAACATAGATTTCAATGTTGTGGTTTATATCAAACAGTCGGTATGGCTGCTAACTTACCCACTATAATTTATATTAAGTTTTAACATATTTGCCACGATTGAAACGAAACTGGCACGAAATTTCTGAAATGCTTTAATCTGTCTTATTGGAAAATACAAAGTCGCCCTTATGAAGTTTAGCAACTGTAAAAGGAAAATCAGACTTACTAGAACGAACTTCAGTCTGTGAATGTGCTTGGTATTTTATATGTTGCGTATACACAGTTCAGAGTTAATGATTGTTAAAAAAGATAGAAAAGTCATACACTGTTCAGATCTAAAGAAAGATTAAGGGATATGGCGTAGTTTGTTTTTGTCTAAAACAATATAATAAACGCATTACAATCATTAGATCAATGCAAGGACGCCGTGCCCTTTGCAGACAATGCCAACAAGCGTAGCGTTTTTTCTCAATTTGTTTTATTATTTAGACGACAAAAAAAAAATGTTAGGAAATAATTTTCAAAAGTTAAGAAATAAATAACATTTTGAATATTGGCGGAAAATTCCGGAGGACTTTTCTTTCTGGTTCCCACTTTTAAACTTGTATTTGAAAGATCGAGCGTGACCTAATGATTAGTGTGCCAGGCACTGAATCGCAATGTCCAAGATTCGAGCCTATGATATTCACTGAGTCAGTTCGTGATAAAATGAGAAATATATATCCCGCTATCCGATTAAAAGTGGCCACATAGGCGGCGAGCACTGTTGATTAGTTGCTCCCTCTAGTCTTCATTTCTATATTACGGAGAGCTATGCCTGAATTTTGTCTCTGACCAAGGCGTTTAGCCTAGGTGTCGCATAAGGTGCTGTTCATGTAAATATCAGAATGTATTTGAACATTGAATATGTATTTCAAAATAGGACATTTAACTAATTTAAAACTTTGTCCCTTTTAAGTGGCAAAAAAATCACTACTTATAGCCACTTTTGTTTGAAGTTTACGAAATTTATTTTTGCCAAAAATTACTAAATCATACATAATATACATATATTCTATTATTGATCTTATCCGGTCATAAGTAATTGGAAAGATTAGAAAAACCACTTTAGGAACAAAATGTGTAGAAAAATTACTTCTTTGGTAAATAGTTAAAGACGAAACAAAATCTTGGCTGTTTAGTAGTGTTATGTTGCGAAAACTTTACACTTTCATTCCAAGCCTGTTAACTGCTGAAATAGAATTGGTTTAATATTATTGTCTAAACAAAAGCATTAAGACTTGACAAATATGTAATTGTGAAAACATAATAGACCAGATCAAGCATGAAGACACCATCGTTGTTTCTATATATAAAATAAGATAATTCATTGAATAAGCTCAGGAACCTAACAGTCACTTAAACACATTCATTGGTGCCCAAGCTTTTTTTAAAGACCTCAGACTTCTTTCATATTTCAGTACCCTTTCGTACACCTAGAAACTTCTAGTTGAATACAATGGGCGTTTTGGCATAAAGCTGTTCAGTCGCAGTTCAACTTTGGACACAGTCTAGCTGTGCTGTTCCACGAATGCAAGTAAACATCTGGCGCGGTACTGAATGACGCATGCGTTGTAATATGGGACACCCTACAGCATGGCAGACCTGAGTACGGGAAGAAATGGCTTCGAGGAGCGGTAAAAGCGTACACAAAGCAAAATAGGATAACTGGCACTGATTGACAATTCTTTTTGCTGGCCACGTTCTATTGGTGTTTTAGTACCTATAGGTCGAGAAACTTAGATAAACCATGCATACGATAAAATAACATATACTTGATTCTTGAAAGTAATAATTAACAATCTATTCACCAATTATGTTTGCTGATAAAAGAAAAAAGTTTTCACAATTGAAAGTATGTAGCGCTATTTACGTGTGGTTTAAAATCATCCTTGTGTTTTAAAACAAAACATCGTGTTGATTGATTTCTAAGCTACAAATAATCGAAACAAGTACGTGACAAGCAGTTAAACGTTGGATGGTCATTTGAAATATTAACACTAACCGTAATAGGCCTACAGTGATACAGTAAGAACTGTAGAAACGTAGTTTAATTCTTATCATTCTTTACTACGGCAGATCAAACTAGACGTCACAATCACATGTAACGTCTTTAGGCAGTACCTTTGGCTAGGAACTAATTATTGAAATCGTTTGATGAACGAGAGGGCCTCCATACAAATTCATTTAAAATGAAGAAGCACTTATTAACAGGGGTCTAAATGTTCTTATTTATGGGTAATATTTGGAAATAAACAGGTACGGTGAAGATGAAGATGTTACTGAATATTATATAGGAAAATTCAGGTCAAATAAAAGGTGAACACATTGAAAAAAGATTTTCAAATGACAAAATGCAAAATTCATCAAAAACAAGATGTGATTAAGAGTAAGACATGACACAAAGGGTATTTTCTCAATCTTCAGACCAATTTTCGCCAAAGGTAAAGGACACACCAATCGTAGTGATTCCAAAGTTACTGACCTGCTACTACTTCTACCAGTACATTAGACCCAATATTAATATATCTTTTGTTTGGAAGCAAACATTTTTTTATCTGTTTGTCTACCCGTAGGTTCCTACTAGGTACGAGTTCTGTCAGCCAAAGACTATATACTCTGATAGCTGAAGATCTGCTGTTCACCTGTGCTTCAAGGATGGTACTCACGCGGTCACGTGACAGCCTTCCTTCCTGCTCTCCAATCCTCGCCAGCTTTCAGAGCTGCCCTTGGTTGTAGAACCACACGGCTTATGTTCCCGAACTGTTCAGTGAGCCGAGCTGGCCAACAGTTGGTAAGTTGATTAATATTCTGAAATAGATTTATTTAGACATGGAGAATATTATCCAAATGTAGCGAATGCACGTTAAATGTAGGTAATTCATCGATGGTCATTGTAATAGGCTAATAAAGTTACTATTGAAATTACTGAGTCTTCGAGAGTTCTTTCCGGTGTCTCGGTGGTCTATCGACTCGTCCCACCCAGAACCAGCAGTTTTGCTGCAAGTGCAGGGCAGGCTTCATGAGTTGGCAAGATGGCGAACAGTCATCCAAAATACAAGAAGACAAAACACAGAATCAACTTAAGTTTGTTGTTCAATCATATAAACTCTGGAAATATGCGTCTATTTATTTTTTCAATTTTTTTAGCTTTAAATGAAATCACTGTATTCCAAACATCGAGTTTTGTGTGTATGTTTGTTTGTCGTTACTTTGTACATGTGTGTGTGATTAACTGGTGTAGCTCGTTCGGCCTTAATTGGTACTTCAATATACAGTATTAATAGGTGTTTAATTTGTTTCTAACTTTCATCTGTCGTCATTGGGCGATAGCTTAACCATTAAATGATTAAGCATTACGACGTTTGGAAGATCGATTAAACACCAAAATTACTTAAACAACTTTAGAGCTGTATAATAGTTAATACTCCTAAATTATGTTGTTTCACGGTGGCAGTTAATAAATTATTCAAATTAGTTTTGACAATATCTTGTGATACTTCCATTACTTACAATGGCATATTACTGTTTGTGTTAGTAGCTTCCTTTAATTAACTGTTCAGTTCGTTGGCATATCATCTGTTTTTGTTTTGTTTTTTAAAGTGGAGAAGTCATGGTTGTAAAAAGGAAAATATTTTTATTCTGTATCAAAAGTTGTTTTGCTTGAACATATATATCAAATTCGAATGATCCAAAAGCAACAAAAATATTAGATTATTGGAAACTAATCCCCCTTTTTTCAAATTTACTAGCCCAATTTTTTTTTTTTCTGGAGAGGGCTGAAGAGTAGAGCTTCAGTTTTGATATACAGAGTGACTTCAAAGAAAATTCCATATTTAATATTATTATGTATTAACTAACTGTGGTAGAGGTGAACTAATGTTTTTTTTTTTTGTTCACCTGAATGATTTTTTTCCCAAACTAGCATTGCTTTTATTTCTCTTTTTGATCTTTTTCATCAATACAATATTGGTGATTAGAGTAAAATGTATATCAGTGTGTAGGTTATTACAAGGATCAGAGAATACTGTCTAGAATAAATTATCCATGTATTAGGCTTGAAATGCTGTTTGAAAATTATGGAAAGCATATTGAACACCTTCTGTGACAATTTTTGAAACACCTTGTGATTTGTATTATACTTCTAGTGAAACCTTGTTATTTTAGGACAAGTAGTTTTTATGCCATAGTAAATTTAAATATGAGTTTTTATTCATAATCACCCTTTAGTTTAATGGCCATAACTAATATTGTATGAAACACTGCTCAGAATAAGATAATTATTTTCAGAACTTTATAATCCTTGTTTTTAATCTTTTTATTTACTTTACCATGATTGCTTAAAAGATTAGCTTCATACATACTATTATAATGCTTTTAAGTTTAAATATTAGTAAATTATATTTAGGTGGTTTTGATGAGAATATAATTATAAAAAGAAAAAACAAGGCCAGTCTGCGTATTAATCACTATAACAAAATTCATTGTTAATATGCTATGTCTCTTACAAAATATGTAAATATAAATGAAGAAAAAAGTCAATTTTTTGTAGCATAGGTAAAAGTAGTACATTGTGAAAAAAAAAAAGATTGGTCTTCAATCATCATAAATTAGTCAAATCTGACACTAAAGTATTTTAAAGTAAATTATTATTTAACAAAGATATTGTAATACTCAAATAATTCCATTCAAAGTTAATTGCTCTAATTATCTGACAGTGTCAGAAAACTATGGAAAAAAGATAGTTATGTTAACTAATTAAAATTTGAATATAAAATAAATCATGTAGTTATTGTTATTTAATTGTAATTAATTATATCAAATAGGAAATTCATAATTTTTGAGGGAATAAAAATAATGTTTTCTGAAAAATATAGTAACATTGTTTTTATTATTTGATAATGAATTTTAAAAACTTTTTTTTAAAAACTAGCACAATATTACTAAAGAACTGCTAATTTTTTGTTGAAACCATCTTCTGATTATTGATCTTCACATAATTAGACTTGATAAATGTATCTGACTGCTGTCAAAGTTTGTGAGACAAATTATATGCTTCATGAAGGGAAAATATTTAAGAAACTGAAAATAAGATCTTCATATAAACCAAAGTTAAAACTCAACACCAAGATTCTAAGAACAATGAAACTTTTTTCACTCTGGTATTTAATTTTGTTTGTTAAACACAAAGCTATATAATGGGCTGTGACTACCATCCACATAGAACTCCAGATTTCAATGTAAGAAACCCTCAGGCTTACTGCTGAACCACCAGAGAATGTCTAGATTTGTTTTCTTGTTATTCTGAGAGCACCCTTTTTCATATATTAAATAAATAAAAAATTTCTAATCATGAATCTCTTCATGGAATTTAAAAACTGCTTTCAATTTCAAACTGTAAACTATCATTTAGATAACAAAATGTGAAGAATACAAATATTAAATGGTAAATAAATAGCTATTCTATATGAAAATGTAATTTTGAAATCATGATAAAACAACATGTAAAGAATAATGCCAATTAACAATAGGACAGCTTAATTAGATCATTTGGGAGTATTACCGAAGCATCAAGTCATATCTATATGCCTAATAGTGCTATTAAATGATAATCTGATGGCATAAAAGTTCAAGTGTGAAATTCTTGATAAAGGAAAGATTAAAGCATAGAATAAATTGTTTTAAAAAGATTATTAATGTACTAAAACCAGAACATAAGTTAAAAATGAAAATAGTGCAACCACCAGTTACCTGAATTTCATCACAAAAATGTTAAAGCATTGTGATAAACCTAAGAGTAATAGAAAAACAGTGGAAGCAATAGAAAAACTTGTTTTGACTAGCTATTACAAAATCAGTATTAAAGGTGAGTCTAATAACAGCATTTAATCTTAAAGCTTTAGTGATAAGAATATTAAAACACTATAGAACCCGATTGTCCAACCAAACATTATATAAATAAAACTTGGAATACCTGGAATTCAATAAGTTTAAAAACTGAATTTAATAATAATAAAAATTGAAGTTAAAATACTAAGTATAAAAATGTGGATCTACTAACTAATTATGGGACATCAAAGGGTATCCCAACTAGAATACCCTTGGTACATTTCTCTTCAAGAGAGGATGAGTTAGAGTTTTTAACTTTTCCTCATACAACAAACCATCCATCTCTGGAATCATTCTTGTAACCCTGCTCTGACCCAATTTCAGTAACTCAATGTCCATCCCAAGTTAGAAGGATCAAAACTGCACAAAAATATACTGTATTCAACCAGAAAACTAAATACCACTCAGGTCTACAAAGCTGTGCGAGATTTGTTTTATATTAGTGAATAAAAAATAAAATTATTATTTTGTCAATTTTCTCAACTGTCATCATCCATATTGTAAAGGTGCCATTATAATTTTGAGACAGACTGCTCTTATTAGCAATGTACTTTCAGTTTTTTCAATTTATCCTGTTGATTGATAGAGAATTCAGTCATGGCCACCCATTTGTTTACTTCAGTTGCTGTACAAAAATCACTTATTTGTATATAGTCACAGATACTGATTACTTATCTTTCATTAATAAAGTTTAAGGTCATTGGGTAAAAATGGATATAATTTTTTACATCATCTAGCAGCTTTCTTAAAGTAGTTGCAAAAAGTATACCAAACATCAAATTTAATATTAGTATGTATTTTTTTGCTGACAATTTAACTGATGTAGAAGTCAGTGATATGGTTGTTTTTACCTTAGCAGTCATAGATTAAATATGTATGTAAAGTAACTCTTACTGCAAGAGTATATTTTGGAGATGTTTTTCTGGATTGGTTCTTATTTATCAACATGGCACTTGTGTACTTACTAATTTGTGGAATGTGAACTTTAATATTGAGAAGTGTAAACTTCTGCATTTGAGGTAAGGAGAATAGGAAAGGTATTACATTGGTGTTGTAGGGAGAAAGAAAGAGGATTTGGGTTGATTGTTAATTAAATCCTGAAGTCTTCTGCCTAGTAATTACATGTAGCAGATAGAATTCTTGATTATTTTTATAAGGATTTTTAATATTATTTAAGAGCAAGAAAGTTATTGTGATGTTGCGTGAGACTAGTGAAACCTCAATTCTTGTACTGTGAATAGTTTGAGTCGACATATTAAGATAAGGAAAGTTACGTGTTGCAAAATTGGGAGAGAGAGAGACTGTTATAATGATAATTATTTATTATCATAATTTAAGAGTGTTTTGATAAACAACATGAATTTTTTATAGTTTTGATGAATAATTAAATGGGTGAAAATGTTATATATTTTTTGCAATAAGTAAATTGAATACATTGAGAAAGATTATGGCTTTTCGTTAACTTACTAATAACTATTCCTAACTAATTCCCCATAGTTATGCTTACAGCACATGATTTTTGTAATGGTTTGTGCTAATCAAGAATACCAAGTCTGGTTTTATTTCTGTGTCTTTTCCAATGAATGAGAATGGCTTTTTTTTTAATGTGTTATCACAGATATATGTATATGTACAAGTAACACAAGTGTTTTTTTTATAAAGGTTGGAAACAAAATTGTTTTTAATATACATATAAAGTGCTGGGCAAAGATTGATATGAAAGATAATAAATATAACAAACTGTGTCTTATCTCAAACTATTAATTTTATCTAAATGTTTTGCTTTCTAGGATTTCATAGAAAGAGAATATCCATTTTTCCTAGATAGTGTGATTTGTAGCTTGAACAAAAGGTAAGAAGCTTGTTAGTTTAAAAGCAATACATTTATACCCAAAATTGTATTTTGTTATAGTTTGTTTCAGTTATTATTCAGTTTATCTTTTGTGTGTGTGTGTGTGCAATTGGTTGTTTGGCATGAAATGGATTTAAAAAATTTAATATATGACTGAATTTTAAAAAGAAAACATATTTTGTAAACAGAAATCAATATAAATGGATGATTGCATAAAAAAGAAACTGTCATTTTTTTTGTATTAAAGTGAGCATGAAATTCAGTGCCCAAAGTCTTTAGGTTCTGCAACAATCTATGCCCCAATGAAAATCAAAAACCTAAATCTGTTTGGTTTGATAATGTAAATTATTCATATTTGCACACTTATGAAAAATAAATTACTTCATTTCACTTTGATTGAAAAGGTAAACACTGAATTCTGCATTTTAGTGGCTTTCCAGTAATTGATCTTTATTCCCCAGTTCAATAATAATATAGCAATCAGCAACAGATGGTAAGCAGTCTTTCTTGATCAGTACTTGAACACATGGCTCATAGTATCTTAAGACTGATGTTCTACTAAGTGATATACCACATAACTCAATAATCACCCAAGACAACACACATATTCCATATATAACCTTTTTTTATTTGGATGCCATATTGTAACAATTGTAAAAGTGAGTGAAAAGCAAACTACCCTTATTAAGACTTGAATTCATGACCCATAGTGCACTAATGTCTTAAGACCACTAGGAATTCAATCCGCAAGCAAACAACTTGTCACCTAGGACATTGGAGTTTCTTTTATGATCAAACTGTAAACTTGTTTCTAATAATTTAGTGAAAATAATTCTTTCTTTTTTTTTTTAGTTTGCATTCTGTGGTAGATCTAAGAAAATAAATATTTAATTTGGATTGTGAGTGTTAGTCAAACAAATTGATATATATATGTTCTTTTTAGTTGTGGTAGACAGCAGTAGACAGTTTGCTTTTCATGAAGATGAACTCATAGAATTAGTTCAGGATTTTCATTTTAGAAAATGCAAGTGTGTTGAAATGATTATCCTAAGCCAGTCCTAACAGACATGGTCTACTAAGTAAAAAAAAAAAAAAAAAAAAAAAGGGTATGATGAGCAATTTCACATGATGCTTCAAAATGTGTGTGTGTATGTATATATGTGTGTCTGTGTAGTATATCTTTTTAGTATTGTATCCAGGTGATAATCAAATATATGTTTAATTATGCTTATAAGTCTAAATATAAGAAATATAGCTTCTGTCTCAAACAGTAACCAGGAATAATCTTATTCGTAATTTGGAATTTTTAAAATGGTAGTACTTTTATACTTTAAAATAATGTGATTATTTTACAAAAAACTAATATGGTTTTAAAAGTTCATCATACTTTGAAAAAAACTGAGTATAATTTCATTCCTGTTTCAGAATATCTGCATGAATTGTTCTTTCTCTTCTCAAAATATGTATAAATTTGATGTCAACCTGTGATCTCCATGTAACTAATCATTGAAATATGTCTACTTCAGAAGAAAAGTTTCTGTGTAATACATGCAACTATGAAGCTGCAAGTCAACACATTTTGGCCCGACATATAGCCATTGCTCATTCAGCCAAAGTTTTCAGCTGTCCACTGTGTCCTTTTGTTTCTCGGTACCAAGCAAACTTGTACAGACACAAGAGGGTTATTCATGGAATACGTCGCACTTCTACCTGTGACCTGTGTGGATATGTAGCCCCAAATGAAGCCTCATTGTGCTACCATAAAGAAAGCTTTCATCAACAAGTTGTAGTGAAAGAGAAGAAACATTATGAAAATCAGAGGAAAATTCATTTAGAAGGAGAGTATCATATTGGCAGAGGTGGCAATGTAAATAATAATGAATTATTATCTTTGCCACTTTCTTTACCAGCTAATGAAAAGAATGAATCTGACGAACTAATGAACAAAAACTTTGGTTCCTCTCTTTGTAATTCTAACATTATAGCAGGAACACAAGGTTTTGAAAACTCTCTAGAACTTTTAGAAGAGGCTTCATTTTTTGATTCAATGCCTTCAACATCAGTAGGAAGTAGTCTTGGAGGTTCAGAATTAGGACCAGTTCGTATTCGTCGAAAATACACATGTGAACTCTGTAATCTAGTCACAATAAACCCTAGAGAATTCCTTTATCATAGACAGCAAGTTCACAGAGAAAGAATAACTGTTTATGAATGTCCATACTGCCTATATGCTTCAAAGCATTTTCAGAAATTACAGCGACACTGTGGTATGGTCCACCAGAAGGTACTAAAACCTTTCGGGGGAAACAAATTGAAAGATTTAGAAAAATTAACAATGATGAACAAACCTGTGGTTGAAAGTGAACAAAGTAAAGAATATTCTGAACAAAGAAATATGGTTCCTATTGAAAGTATAGCTTTAAAATGTACAAAAGAGAACTATCAATGCTCTAAGTGTCATTTTCGTGCAAAGAGTAAGATGATTTTAATTCAACATGAAAAAATATCTCACCTAAAGAAAAAATTCTTTCGTTGTTTACAGTGTGATTATGTTACCAATGAAAAAGCTAGGTATACAAAGCACTGTAAATATCATTCTCTACCAAAAGTCAAGTGTGAGTTTTGTAATTTTACAACAACCTATAAGTGGAATCTGGATAGGCATATGAAAAATCATCTTCATGATGAAATGTTCAAATGTGGAAAGTGCAGTTATACCTGTCACTCTGAGCAAGCTTTGAAAAGTCATACACTTCAACATCATGACTCTTCTCTAGGTGAACAAATGGACGAGATTGAAAAGAAAAACCTGAGGACCAGTTCTGCTAATGAAGAAGAGAGAAGTTCATCTATAGAAGAACAGCAACCAGGAAACTCAAAAGAAACGTGTAATTCACAAAGTACTGAAAAAGATAGCCTAACCATTGTGACAGAAGAAAAAACCATTGACAGCTCTGATTCTAATTTTGCTGTGAAACAAGGAAAAGTATACAAGAAGAATTATAAATGTAGCTATTGTTCTTATCGTGCAGCCTGGCCATCAGATCTTAAGAAACATGAAAGCTGTCACATTTCCAAGAAATTGCATTCTTGCCCTATTTGTGGAATGGGATTTGACATGCTTCCTTCTTTAGCACATCACCTCAGGCATCTGCATGAGAATAGTGATCAAGCAAACAGTATTGCTTATGTTATAGAAATGGTTTCATCAGGACAGGCTAACAAAAAAATGCCAATTCTTAAAACTTTGCTGTCGGAATGCTTAGGAGAGGAAATGCAATCTAGTGGTAGAGTTCAGCCAGCATCAGATAGCTCTGAAAATTCTCTAGCTTCTTCATCTTATGATATGCAGGTGCAAACCCCTCGCATGTCAGCATCTTTGCAGAATTTTAAATCTGACAAGCCAATGCCTACATGTGCTGTGTGTGGCTACAAGACACGGTGGATGTCTGAGTTAGAGAAACATAGGCGTGTCCATTCTGGAGAAAAACCCTTCAAGTGTACCTATTGTAATTACAGGTGTAAGTGGAGAGGAGACTTAACAAGACACATCCAAAAATACCACCCAGAAAAACCTGTGGGGCCACTGGTCAATAAAAAACCTGTCTTAAAGATGAAAATAAAGAATCCTAGAAGTTCCCTTCCAACAATTTCCAGTTATATTACAAGTGAAAATGTTTCAAAATCTGAAACAGTTGAACATAAGGACCAGAATAAACCATCAATATTTAGTGTAGAAGGTGTTTCTCATATGCAACCTACAAGTTTAAAAAAATCAAATATAGAAATCTCTGTAAACCAAGATATGCCTTTAGATTTGAGTATCAGTGCTAAAAGATTGAACTCAAAAATTCAGGAAGAATCAGGTGAAGAAAATGTTCCTGGCAAGTCTCTGAAAACATATTCAGATGCAGAAGAAATAAGTGTAGATTCAGTAAAAAATACAAAAAGTGAAGTGAAACAAACCGGACAAGAGTATGCTATTAATTCTTCCTTGGTAACGACTAAAATTGTTAAAAAATATCAGTGTGCATACTGCCCATTCATAACTCGTACAGCATCGCGTTTCCATGTTCACATTGTACAGCATTTCAATAGAAAACCATTCATGTGTTCAGCCTGCTGCTACAAATCTAACTGGCAATGGGATATCACAAAACATATCAAAATGAAAATGGTGAGAGATGGCAATCACCAAGGAGCAACCTGTTTATTAACTGATGAAACAGGTAGAAGGGACTATGAAAAATACAAAGACTTCTTGATAGATGTACCTCTAGAAATGAAGTCCTCAAAAAATAAAGATTGTGTGTTATCTGATAGTACAGAGAGTTTTGATGCCAATGAATATTCTATGAACAGTGACCAAAACTCCCCAGATTTAAATGGGAACATGGTTAGTATTGTTGTGACACCAGACATTCCATTTCCTGTGGAGGATTTTAATGAGCAAGCATTACAGATAGACTCTGCAACTACAGAAAGTACAGTTAGACCAGAAACTAAGTACTTTTACTGCAGTCATTGCAATTTTCAACATATTGCAAAGAAGGTCGTTGTTAGCCACATGGCAGTTCATGCTGGTCTTAAGCCATTCCGTTGCCGAAGTTGTGGCTTGGTCTCAAATTGGCGGCATGTCATTTTAAGACATATTAAGAGCAGGCATGAAGGAAATCTTGAAGACTTGGAGGAACGCATTACTGTCTCTCAACAAGGAAGAAATCTCTACTTGTCAGAAGTGCATTCTGGAGATAAAGATTTAAGCTTCCCAAGTGAACCTACATCAGAACTACTGAGTTGTCAGGTGTGTCCGTACACCTGTGTGAAACACTCTCATATGAAACTCCACATGAAGCAACATCAACCAAGGGAAGGAGCTGTGTTTAAATGTTTGTATTGTCCTTACTATGTGAAGTTTAGGAAACCTCTCAGACGGCACATGAAATTACATACAGAGGCCTCTGAAAACTGTCAAGCTTCCCAGAAATGTCACAGTCTTGAAAATGATAGCACTGCATTAACATACAGCAAAAATAAGATGGAAATATATCAAAATGTAGTTCAAGTAACCAAGAGTAGTTTACCAAGGAAACCAGCAACACACATTTACACTGGGATTGCAGCAATGTTCAAGAAGTATTCCTGTGATGGCTGTCCTTATAAAACTGATAATAGATCTCAGTTTTTATACCATAAACAGTTCCATCGTCCTAACAGTCTTGCTTCCCACAGATGTACTGTGTGCTCATATTGGGCAAAACGTCAGCATCTTATAATTCAACACATGAAAGTTCACAAAGATGACAATAGTTCTGAACCATCTCAAACAAAACTAGGTCAGGAGGATAAGGAAAAACAAGAAGAAAAGCCAGCAGATGACAAATCAGAAGGTAGCAAGATCAAAATGTACAAATGTCACTATTGTCCAATGACGAGCAAACATAGGACTAATGTGCTTAGTCATGAAGCAATGCATGAAAAAGATTCTCCTTCCAAATTTGCTTGCCCATTGTGTAACTATCATTGCAATAACTTGGGAGTTCTCAGTGGGCATTTAAAGCTTCACCAAGAAAGTGAGGTTGATCAGTTTCTAAATTCAGCATCAAGAGGAGTAGAGAGTTGGAATGAGAAAGAACCTGTGCCACTGAAGCAAAAATCTACAGATAGAAACTTGTCATTAGCAAATAACTCTGATCCATTGGGAGCTGCCTCTTCTAAAGGATCTCTTATTATGGTGAGGAAAAAAGTATTTAGCTATTTCTGTACCAAATGTCCAGCTGTATTTAAAAGCACAGCAGATTTTAAGATACACAAAAGTTTTCATGGGTCTAATTATCCATTTTCCTGTCCACATTGTGATTATCGGGCAAAGCACAAGCCTCATCTTCATAAGCATTTCTTTGTTCATACTCCAGCCTATGCAGCCAAGCGAGAAGCATCATTTGGGCCTCCAGTTGAAAAATTTCAGGAAAATAATTCTGTACAAGATCAGAAGTTGGCTTCAGAAGATAGTGTTCCTGTTGAATCACTGGTAGACAATATCAATGGTAAATTGGAACAAAATCCAAATTCTATCGGTCAGTTACTGTTACACGAAGAGGCAGAGACTAGATCCTTTTGTGATAGACATGAAATTCAATCTTCTCAGAAGCTTCATGAATGTTTATTTTGCCCTGCCAAGTTGTATAAACAATCAACTCTTCAATTTCACATGCAGTTGCATGATGGAAATGGATCACTTGCTTGTTCTTCTTGTTCTTATGCAGTTGACAGTATAGACAATTTGACAACTCATGTTAGGCTTCATTCTAAAGATTTTGATGTCTTCAAAAAAGTAGAATCAAAAACCCAAACTGTCCACTCCTGTCCCAAGTGCCCTGCTGTGTTCACTAAAATTGCACGGTATGAACGTCATATCACCCTACATGGACAGAGTAATAGATATACTTGTGATAAATGTGATTACTCTGTAAAATTTGCAGCTAACTTACAGAAGCACAAGCCTGTCCATGAGAGAGGTCAGATCCAGACTTATGCTAAAAATGTTTCCTCATTATTTAACAAAGAACCTGAATTATTTAAAGCTCAGCCATCACTGACAGATTATATCAATCTTCAAGTCAATGAACTTCCTGAAGAAAGAGAAAAAAAACTCTTTCATTGTGACCGATGCCCATATGTCAATCAGCGTAAAGATGCTGTCCAAAGTCATCAGAAACGCCATGGTGCCACAGGGGGTGTCAGTTGTCCCTATTGTGACTACACTACTATGCAGCCATCATGTTTGAGGGATCACATGAGAAGTCATCTTCAACCCCAAGCTCTTCTGAAGGCACAGAGTTTTCTGAAGTATGATACTATGGAAATCTGGATCATTGAAGATGAAACCAAAGATTTGTTCTTTAGAGATAGAGGACAATCTTTCACAGATGATCGCTTCTTGTCTCCCTTTGAAGAAACTTCAATTGAGGGTCCCTCAAATAGCAGTACAATTGCATTATTAAATAGCAATGTGGGTGTAAATGAATCTGATGAATTAGCTGAAGAACATGTTAAAACAGTTGGAAAAATAAGAGAGAATAGATCTTCTGTTGCTGAAGAAGAAACATTAGAGTCAGTAATAAAGATGGATCTACCAATAGAAGGTGAAGATACAAATAAATCCATTCTTACTGTAGTTGTTCCTAATAAAATAGAAAACAAAATAAAAGTTATTAAAGATGCTCTTAGTCAACATAACAAACTTGAAGTTGTATTAACAGATGTCTTGGAAAATGTACTCATGAATCACCCAGAAAAAGAAAAAATGAAGTATCAAACCAAGATGGTGATAAAAATGACAAAAAAAATAGTAAAGAAAACTATAATGAAAATAGTCACATGGAACAGGGGTTAGACAATAGTGAAGAGCATCTGGAAACAAAATGTACAAAAAATGATCAACTTGAATCACAACATACACAAAATTGTAAACAAGTCATCAGCATGGATCAACATTTAAGTGGAACAGATAAAAAGACAGACATTTGTAAGCTAACAAACTATGTTGATCGTGGATCAAGTGAAACAAGAAATCAACTTGGATCAGAAAATATAGAAAGTGACAAACAAGAACACGACAAAAATGTGCAGTCAGGAGAAAAAGATAAGCAACCTGACTTGGAATATACAGAAAAGGATGTACACAAAGAAAATAGCATTAACCAAAGAACAGGTGTGCCAGATGAGCAACTGGAACTAGAAAATAGGAAAAAATATAAACAAGAACACAGTGAGAATTTTGGAAGAGCAAAAATATTTATACAAACTGAATTGGAACCTACAGAAAGTAATAAACAAGAACTTGATATGGAATTAGGACCAAGTGAAATTGATAATAAACCTGTTTTGAATCATACAGAAAATTATGAATGTGAAAAAATGGTAAGTCAAGTATCCAATGATATAAAATGTACAGAAAATTATAAAAAAGATTTCAACTTGTATTTAGAACCAAATGAAATACATAATCAATCTGGATTAAAAGATACAGAAGTTTGTATGCAGGAGATATGTCAAGCTGCTGAAAAACTTACAAACAAATTGACACACTTCTCCAATAATTCTTGTATCACAGATCCTTTGTTGCCATCTACAAGTTTTCAAGCTGAAGAGTTCAGAAACGACATAGCTTGTTCTTCACAAAAATGTAATGAAAATACTTTTACGTCTGATCAAATCAATATTAATGATGATTATGATGACTCTCTTGATGGATTAATCCTCACAATTGAAGAAGATATTAAAGTAATTGAATGCAAAACACTTAAAAAAGAAACGGTGAATTTTTCTGATGCAAATGTTTGTTAGATACAATCCAAAAATCAATCAATTTTAAAAACCGATGCAAATTTTAGAACTCTCCTAGTGGAAGAGAAAAAATCAAAACCTCATCAATGATGATGATGTTTTAAATAACAAGAAATCAATAGTTCTTTAAAAATTTCTTAATAACAGAACAAAATGGATTAATTTATGACAGTATTGTTAAAAATATAATTGGTTTTATATTAAAAAATAAATGAGAGCTGGCTGGGATTGTCTGTCCAAGAAGACTTTTAAGAGCAGTAAAATGAACACAATGAATCCAGTCACTTCAGTATAACCTTCTATTTGTGGTGTTACCTCAAGGCTTCTAGATTTAGAATCTTCTGTGACTCAATCAAAGGAACAGCATCATCAATAAAGTGCTCACATGATTCAAATATATCATTCATGTCAGCTGTAGATTTGGATTATATTCAGAATGATAAGCCTGGGGAACATAACCTTATCCTATCTGTTCAATTGAATATGGCTAGAACACTTAGCATCAACAGTAAAAAATATGGAACAGTCATCACAATCAGTAAATTAGTAATTGTGGTTTATGGAAATGAGAGTGCCTCCATCTGTTCATCTTTTATAAGCCCTAATGCACCAAAAGAACACAACACACTAATAATTGCCTCTCAAATATCAATATCAAAGAAATCAGTGCCTCTACAAGTTAAACAAGAATACTATTGTGAAAAACATCCACTTCAAGGTGATCAATTTGTGAAAGTTCGAGTATGTACAACTGATGAAGATGTTTGTGTTAATCCAGTATAAAAATTGTTTCAGAAATACAACTTAGAATAAAACAACAGACTACTTTTTATTTTTAATTAATGAGCTTAGTAGGAAGTGCACAAATTTAATGAACGTCTAATAGTTATGTAAAGTATCAAAATTACGTTTTTATTTAAAAACATGAATCTTTTTAAAAATATGTTGTAGTATGTGAAATTTTAGTGTGAGTTTAGCTTGAAATAATTAATATATGTCGCTGACGTAAGCTAACATCATCGTATAAAATAAACTGATTATTGGCCCTCGACAATATTGGAGCTCATTGTTACTTTAATCACGATATTTTGCTCCATATTTTTAAAGATTTTCTTGTAAAGGATAACTTTGAAAGTACAGAACAACAAATAATAAGACCGGCAAATTAATAGTGTGAACTTTATATAAATGTGTATATAGTTAGTAATTTTACGTTATATAGAAAGCAGATAAAGAAAGAACGTTAAGAAGTAACTTGCATTTTAAGTCTCGCAAAATGAACGATTGTTAACAACATTGTACGGGTGTGTGTGTGATAAAATTGTAACGTTCTCTATTAGAGAACAGTGCCTGTATTTTGTAAAATTCGTAATAATATTTTAGAGATCATGTACACTAGTTGTCATTAAACCTCATTATAGTCAGTGTGTTAAAAAGAGTTAGATATCAATGTAAATATACGTAGTTCGACGATAACAGCCCAGTTTATAATCATATAGTGAACATGAATATACTTTGAAATGGTACTACTGTTGTAGAGCTTTATTTCGTAGGTATTTTCCATTCAAGTAAAACTGTTAATTATAATGATTTTGTTGAAATTTATCTATTACATATATATATTTTGAGTAAGGACGTTCTTTGTGTTGTTTGTTCATTATGTGATGCACAGGATGTTTTCTACAACCTTTTCCACTGAAATTTTGCAGATGTGTTGAGTCACTTTGTAAAAACTTTTTTTCATAATATTTTACTGAGTCTTAAATTGTAATTATCAGTAGTTACTTAGAGATTGTATATTATAATTTGCCTAGATCAGTGATACACAAGTTTCCAGGATGAAAATAAAATTATCTGTAGTTTAATGTTGTCTTGTGGATGTTGTTTTGTTGGTTCTGAAATACGAAAATTTTCTTTTGGCACATATTTTGAACTTCTAGATCAGATCATGATCAGAGTTTTATCTATGTTACTGTGGTAAGGTGGATTAGTAGTTAGCATGCCCGGACTGTGAATCAGAGGATTTTCCTGTTCGCGTCCAGTTTCTGCGAGAATGCGCTCAGCACTTTGGAGTCGTAGGTGCGTTATAAGAGTGACGCCGAATCCTACTATTCGGTCAGTTGTCGTTGGTAAACTTCGCATAGAGGATATGCTTGGAAAAGTGTTGTGCTTATCAAATTTGCTTTTGAGCACTACTGTATAGCAGAAGTGCTATGGCCAGTGTAAGATGTAAAAAAAACAAAAAAACGACTCCTTCAGACAAAATTGGATAATTATTACAGTTACACTGCTTTTCACAGTGAAGACTACTGATATCGTTTTGAAATTTTGTTTTAAACAATGTGCAAACTGAAGTTGTCGTAAGTAAACATTTTTTGTTTGTTCTGTCTCAATTTCAGTACGGTAAATATTTATAATAAACAATTATTTATTAAAAGATGAGTATATTAAGGATTGAAAATGTTCGTTGTTGTCTCTTGACTTTTTATGAGCTCCACGACAAAGGAATCTGATGTGAAAATTGAACGGCTCATTAAAGAATTACACTATCTCGTAAAATTAAACAAACTCTCTTCAAATTCTAAGCCCATATACGTCAGTAAATTCGTGGTATCTTGTAACGAGTGGAACTTAACTAGGAGAATCAAATTTCCCTTGAACTTAACTTTGTATATTTTATAAAATTTCATAACCGTCTAATATATGACTTGTAAAATACATGCCAAACAAAAGACGCAAGTAACAAATAGATTGTAATACAGAAAAAAAATTCACAAAAAAAGAAAGAGGACAGTTCCAAAGAATTGCCATTATTCAGTTGTTTTTTATTTCCAGCATAAGAAATTGGACAGGAACTCAACTGTCTTTAATCTATGCATTTTAATGGTCGTACTCATACAGTTTCACCGTTTAGTTTCAAACAAGATGTATCATTGCATTATGTGTATATATATATATATAAAGGGTTGGAAGGCAAAACTGAATAACTATTACTAATTCATAACATTGTCATATTCATGGATATAAAAATTCGGATTACGTTTTCATCTTATTTACCATTTTGACACCACATGTTCCATTTAATTGAAACTTAAGGTTTCTACTGTCGCAAATACTTCATGGAAGTCATCTTTTATTGATTTATTTTACTTCCCCTTTATTAGAGACTAGTCAATGAAAGTGAAAAGTAGTTATAAGTAATCGGATTAAAATGTGTGAAACATGATGGCATAAATTATGTAAACAGTTATCCTGCTATATAAATTTGTCTATACATAGAATTAGTCTTTGAGCTCGCACGATAAAAATGAATTACTAAATTGCATCAGATACGTTCATTTTGCAAAAATTAAATTTGACAATTGGAAAAAAAACGCGTATAAACTTAGAGCACCCAATTAAAATTGCATAAAACAATCTAACTTATTTTTTCAGTTCTTTTCGGGTTATTGAAAAATTAACAGGTCACAATAAAATCTTCTTTGAGTTTAATAAGTGATTAGAAGAAGGAAAACATTCGTGGACACTTAGGGGGTCCTGTTCCCTTGAACAATATGTTTTTTTATCCTCATGTTCTCTGTTAGAGCCTAGCGATTAGGGCGTTCGGCTCGCAACCTGCGGGTCGTGGGTTCGCCATTTCATCCGTGGGAGCGTTATAATGTAACGGCCAATCTCATTATTGCTAAATTAGGGACGGCTAGTGCAGATAGCTCTTGAGTAGTTTTGCGCGAAATTCAAAACAAACAAACACGGAAAACTTTCTTGGAATTTACCAATCTGTTTTTCGCTCTTTTATGACCTTCGTCTCTTTCGCTGACCATCTAGTTACTAAGATTTTTGGAGTTGGCTGTAAATTAGAACATGGTATTCAAACTGAAGTTTCAGAAAATATACTCGGTATTAAATGTTTTGGTTCATGGCAATGTTCAGACTCCCAAACACTTTGTACGCATCAAAATATTTTTTCTGGGCTGTTCATAACTACCTTTTTCATTTTTACTTGACTCCTAAATATGTCCACTCTTTGCCCCAGACTTATAATTCTTGGTGTTATTTGCAATGAAACACTTGGTCGATAAGATCCCATAAGTAAGTTATTTGTATTTGTGAATCTTCGCTTCATCCTCTGTCTACTTGTAGCCTACTCAGGATTATTGCTTGTGTTGTCCATCAGGCAAGATATTCCGTTTTCTCTTACTTACTCTTTTTGAAAGCTCACTGATGCAGATATTAGAATGCTTTATTGAAGAGGGTGGATTATTTCTCTTTAATGCTGGCAGCTCACTCGTTTCGATCCTCACAACGGTAACTTTTGTGCACGGGATATGACCATGGTCCCCATCCATTTGAATGGCATAAGGGCCTGGGAAATGATATTTTTTCTTTATATCACCTCAACCTTTGAGCCAACTTTTCCTACTATGGTTTCTCATTAGTTTTCCAGAGTTAATT